ATTACCAACATTCAAGTAAAAACTCGAGGACTAAACCTTGTGAGATAAGCGGACGAATACATTCCAACAAATCCTGATGGGGGGGGGGGTCGGCTTTTTATTATTTAATCAGTAGGACAATACGCAATGGTGCCAACGGTCAGGGGCGGAGGTGCGACTGCAGAGGCGCGGTAGCGACGCACTGCGTCCTTCACCCCGGGCCCGGGTGTGCCGGTGTGCCGAGTGCCGTGTGCCTGCCGGGTGCTTGCCAGGCAGGGTGGTCGTGGTCACATTTCCAAGACTTTTTTCCCGAAATTATAGTCGTCCCAGCGATACTTTGGTCTTTGGGTCCCATACACGGCAACGGCGCTTCCCTGGGACCCAAAGACCAACGTAGCGCTGGGTCGACTAGAAGAAATTTGGTTTTTGAAATGTTGTACAACAATATTGGCATCACTATAAAATCAGAGCTCTGAGCTTCCTCAATAATTTCCAGTTACACGCCTGTTCCTGTTGAGGTCCGGTTGAGGCACTCATTTTACGGTACAGCGGCAGCGGACGGCACTGGTGAATGCGTAATTTTCAATTTTTCCATGACAACGAGGATTAATTTCCCAGACTACGCCTTCCTAACCAATTGACCTGAGTTTTTTTCCCAAGAATTTATGACTTCCGGATTTTTAATTGATTGTAACACCCCTGCAGGTGCGTGTCAGCACATGTCATGTCAAGTGCGTTGCCTGGTGCGTTGCCTGGTGCATTCCCAGGTGCGTGCCGGGTGCGTGCCAGGTGCGTGCTAGGTGCGTGCCAGGTGCGTTGCAGGGTGCGTTGCCAGGTGCATGCATACCGGGTGCAGAGGGCACGGTTAGGATTGCGGTTCTAATGGGCACTTCAAGCAATACAGTCGCGAGCAGCACCGGCGCAGGAGCAGGCTGGCCAACCAGCGTCACAGGCCGCGCAGCGCCAGCGCCAGGCCACGGCAGCGTCACGTTGGCAAGACTGGCACGGACGCACGGACGCGCACGCACAGCTGCGCCACCC